GGAAATATATAAGTTATTTGAAATAGCTAAGATTGGTAGACACATTTTCATTGAAAAAAATTTAATCTGGGGATATAAAATTAATGATGAACATTATTATGAAATAAACTCTTTACTTACAGTTATTGTGTTCACTATACACAAAATACATTATTTGTCAGAATATAGGACAAAAAATATCAATCTATATAATGTTTTTAGGTCAGAATTTAAAAAAGGGTTATTATTACAAAAAATATATTAATACTGAAGGAAATGGGATACTAGATAAGATATATTCTTATATTTGACAACATTGTTATATTATTGTCAACATTGTTATTATATATGTATTTTACAGAACGGTTTGATAGATGATCATTTCATTTTACAACTTTAATGAGTTTTGAAAGTGAAAGTACCTCTTATTTCTTCCACAAAGTTATATACTGTAATTTTAAATTATACGGAAGATATACAAATTATGCTTATTATATGAGACCAAAATTATTTTTTTTTGTACATACCTTCCGTGCCTAATACAATTATATTTGGGAGACACGTGGTGAAAGCAATTAATCCACACAAAAATACAACAAATGAAAAACCGTTATACCGGAAATATATTAAACCACAAACCAAATTCCGAACACGCTAAGATAACCCGTTATTCTGTTTTATTCACAACATCTATCAGATAGTAACAATTGATTGTATATTAAAGAAAACTTTTTTTTAACTATATATATTAAGTTCATATTCAGAGTTATAATAGTAAAAAATTAGAGAAATAATGTATTAATGATAAACAATGTATTAAAGACATATAATATACATACTAACTAAATTAGAAGATACCCTGGTCTTATGGTACTAATATACAGGGATCTCCACTGAAATAGCTGTACCAGTGAAGAAATCTGTTAACAGCATATGCAATATTGTTGTTGAATAAAAAAAAAAAAAAATCATTTATGAATGAAATAGACATGACAATATTGCTTTTTAGAGAAAAACCTTCAATGAAAAATTGATAAAATTCAAATTTTAGTAACACATTTATATCACTGTTTGATTTGACTGTAAAGCAAGGACTTTGATTCATATTCTTAAGATTATGTCCTGTCGCTAAATATGACACTTGATTCCTTATATTGACGATTTTTCTAAAAATTAATCTTGTAAACAAACGAAGGTTGACAAAAGAGACAAACGCCTCTCGGTTGTCGAGTGGTTTAAACAGTTTAGTTACTAAATCTTAAGCCTTTCAACACTGATATTGTGCTAGGAGTACTATTTTTCCTGCAAAAAGTCTATGATTTTTCCCGATCACTCCGGTTTTGTTCGCCAATAAAAAATGTGCGCCACAAAATAGCAAATAGCTATGATAGAGGCAATCAACACCAAAAATCCACCTCTCAATCAAACTAGGCGGAAGATACCTATGGGAAAATCAAAACTCATAAATCGAAAAGTGCACGATGAAATCATGACAAAAAACGGAAAACGACGAAAGGACAACCAAAGTTTACAAAATTCAGCATAAAAAGTCAAGACTGAGCAACAAAAACACCACTAAAAACCGGGGCTACCTTGGGTAACTAAAGAGTACAATAATTGTTTAGCTTCATATGTTAAAAGGAATACATCTGAAATGATCTAAAGAATCATTTGCAAAATTCTTTTGTTCCTGTTTTATGACCCATATTGTTATAATATGTGAATATACCTACTTAATTAACGATTTTGTGAAAAAGATATGCTAGAGAGGCAGACGATGTCAAAGGGATTTTCAATCATACATAAACAAACAAAAGACAAGCGACGTTCATAAAATACAAATGAAAAAATCTAAAGGTTGAGCAATACGAATCTCACGAAAAAATAAGTGGGGATGATGTAATGTGATTCGGGAGGGTAAGCAGATCCTGTTCTATATGCACAAACTGTTGTGTTGCGCATGTAAGTTCAAACTTCAGTCTAAATCGGTCGCTCACATTCAAAGAAAAGATGTTGGGATTTTGGTTACGACAATTGGAACATATCCGTCGTCATCTGTTGAAAAGATTTGTTAAAAAATATCTAATATATTATGAAGTTGCATTGTTTTGATATAATCTGTTTGACATCAGAATATATTGATATCAAGACAAGCAAAGACTGTCGAATTGATGAAAAATTATATATATATATATATATATATATATATATATATATATATATATATAAGTCTAAATTGAAAACAACGTTCAAACCTATAAATTTGGATAAAAACCGCAATTTTTATACGTGTGCATGCAAAACAAATTTATATATATATACAACCAAGTCTATATATATATATATATATATAAACAAATCTAAATTGAAAACAACGTTCAAACCTATGATTGCGTTGGATAAAAATCGCAGTTTTTATACGTGTTCATGCAAAACAAATTTCTTGGTAAAGGAGTCTAAATACAGCACAAACAACATTTTCCAAAAGACCAAAAAAATGACAATGTATATTTTAACAAAACGCATTTGACTAGCAGGTCGAACAACGGATGTTCTTAAACCCTGTTGACTGCCATTGGCGATTGCCAAATAAAATGATCACCAATGTAACAAAATGGATCTAAAATATTAATTTAATATCAAACAGAAATCAATAAACTTGCGGAAAAGATGGTATATCGCAAACAAAAGGTGCAAAAAATTAGTAGACATATCCGGATTTCGACAATTAATGTCTCTTCAGTGATGTTAGGAATCGAAACGGTATTTGGAAGGCCATATAATTTACCTCAATTTAGGATAGACTCTTGAATTTTGAAGAGTCGAAATAGGATGAACGGATCATATAAACCCGAAGGCAAATATAATACAAGCCCAAACGAAAAAATTTAAACAAATCTAAATTGAAAACAACGTTCATACCTATGATTGCGTTGGATAAAAAACCGCAATTTTTATACGTGTGCATGCAAAACAAATTTATTGGTAAAGGGGTCTAAATACAGCACAAACAACATTTTCCAAAAGACCAAAAAAGTGATAAAGTATATTTTAACAAAACGCATTTGACTAGCAGGTCGAACAACGGATGTTCTTAAACCCTGCTGACTGCCATTGGCGATTGCCAAATAAAATGATCACCAGATGTAACAAAATGGATCTTAAATATTAATTTAATATCAAACAGAAAACAATAAACTTGCGGAAAAGATGTATATATATATATATATATATATATATCTTCGGTTTAATAAACAAAGTCACATTTCTTCAATATTATCTTGTTATTATCTGATTCCGGTCCCATTATAAACTGATTGCAAGTTTCAAAAATAAACCGTCAACATGTTCGCTCGAGGTCAAATGTATTGAAGTAACAAACACAAAGGAAACAATACTAATATAGGAGTATCCAACTCCTTATTTGAAACATTTTAAAATCTGGTTCTTTTATGCAATCTCTTTCTACTTTCCCTGTGTTTCGATATAGCCCTTTATGTGCTGCTTGAGCATTAAACGTCAACAGTATTTGTCAAGTTAAAATCTTCTGTAATGAGCCTTGGTACTATGCTGTTTATTTTAGTGTAATTTTTGTTATCAGTGCTTTAAATTTCAAGTATAAGCGAGTCTTGGTTATAAATGTTTTTACAATGATTCGATTAATGCGAATGCAAAGTAAAACCAAAAGAACAGTAAAATGAAGAAAATAAAGTGGTTTTTGTTTAAGGGACACCTAGTTCCATGTTAAGATAACTTACAATTTCAAGACTAACTTCATTCTTCCTTCATTATGCAATAGCATGAAATTAAATCTAGGGATCATGAAGAAGTTATTAAATCTTCATGAAGTGAAAAAATGAATATCAAATTAACAATTTGATACCAAAAAAAAAAACCCATAAGCGTTCAACTCAAGAAAAGAGGGTCGACCGAAATGGCCAAATTTATCTTCATTCACTTAACCTAACATAACGTTTATTGGGCATAACTAAATGGTTTTAAGGAGGTAATAAAATTTGATACCAAAAAAAACCCCAAAGCGTTCAACTCAAGAAAAGAGGGTCGATCGAAATGGCCAAATTTATCTTCATTCACTTAACTTAACATAACGTTTATTGGGCATAACTAAATGGTTTTAAGGAGGTAATAAAATTTGATACCAAAAAAAAACCCTAAGCGTTCAACTCAAGAAAAGAGGGTCGATCGAAATGGCCAAATTTATCTTCATTCACTTAACTTAACATAACGTTTATTGGGCATAACTAAATGGTTTTAAGGAGGTAATAAAATTTGATACAAAAAAAAAACCCTAAGCGTTCAACTCAAGAAAAGAGGGTCGATCGAAATGGCCAAATTTATCTTCATTCACTTAACTTAACATAACGTTTATTGGGCATAACTAAATGGTTTTAAGGAGGTAATAAAATAATTAAGTGAAAGTATTGAAATTGTGACAAGGCATAATGATTAACACAAAATGCACGGAATCAACAAAAAAGTACAATGTTGAATTGTCCAATCAGATATTTATCTTTCATAATTAATTGGAAAAAATCGTTACATTATTCTATAATTACACACTACCTGGTTCAGAAAATTTATGTTATGAAGAATCGTTTAATTTCGTCTTTCAATACACACAATACAAAAGTATTCTCATGCTTTGTTTTTGACAACGATTTAGGTATTATTTGAGATGGACACTGGTTAAGGCTGCATAGATTTAAATTTTCAATTTATTGTTTTAAACACCTATGTTGACAAATGTATTCTTGAATGACGGCAATTTGTTTTCAATTTTTAAATGGTTCATATAATTACACATAAAAGAGATGTTTTGCATAGAGTTAAAAAAATGTTTTAAATGTAGCTTTTGGAATTTGTCATGAATGTAGACTACACAAGTATTTCAAAAACTTAACGTAGTTATCAGTGAAATCTATGCAGGAGTGCACCCAATGTTATTATATATAACATGTATAACTACACTTTACTGTATTCATTATATTGTAATTGTTAAATGTACACATGAAAGGTTCACAAATGCGTCCAATGAGTATGTTAATAGATAAATCTAGTTTTGATAATCGATTTTACATATACTGGCATTTAATGACGAAAATAATAAATGCTTGTACAATTTTAATTGAAAAGTATCAATGTAAATCAACAAAGATTGAACATGGCAGGTAAGTATTTGTTTTTTTAGAGACGATATAATATTTTCTGGATTATAAAATCATTACACTTTAACATTAACTTGTTATTCATGCTAGTGCTCAGTCTTTAGTTTTATGTGAAACTTTTTGTAAATTGTTCGTCTTTCCGTCATGGAACGCTTACAATAGGACAACAGGGTAACATTAATGGGTTCTCAACTAAAATTTGTAATTCTCATATGCTAAAAGAGAATTTTTTGACAATTTTTGAATTTTTAAGGTAAAATTATGTTGTATTCTACTAAATTTTTCAATGTCCAGAGAAAATGTTACGGCAATGTTCCATATTCGGAATATTTCTACCATATTGCATTTGTTTTAGTATCAACATATGCTCATCTTACAAAACATCATACTGATTCATTTATTTCTATGAATAGCAGATGCTGCATAATGGATTGTATTGGTTCTCAAATATCATGGATGCTCTCTCGATTATATTAATAACTTTTGTAGTTGTGAAATTGTTTTGTATAAAAAGCACTTCTTATTTCTGTATATAGCATATTTCAAAAAAGTGTCTGCGGATAATGAAGAAAAAAAAATAAAATTGCATCTTCACCTTTGACAGATGCTGATATAATTCTTTTAATTTCATATTGAATACTTCAACGTTTGGATGCTGGCTTTCAATTATTTTTAGATGCTGGCATCCCATCACATTGGAATGATGACATCATATCAGTTTGGATGCTAGTATGCCAAAATATCTGGATGCTGGCATCCCAACATATCTGGATGCTGGCATCCCAATATATCTGGATGCTGGCATCCCAAAATATCCGGATGCTGGCATCCCAACATATCGGGATCTTGGCATCCCAAAATATCCGGATGCTGGCATCCCAATATATCTGGATGCTGGCATCCTAACATATCTGGATGCTGGCATCCCAAAATAACCGGATGCTGGCATCCCAACATATCGTGATGCTGGCATCCTAAAATATGGGGATTCTGGTATCACAACTATTCAGACATACCTTTTTTCATTATGTCATACGAATTTAAATGCTGCTTCCTAATCAACTGGATTTTAGTATTAATCCACCAATATAACATCCAGTACATTTCCTAAGGTTTTGATGTGTGTTGAATGCACATGAAAACAATCCAGTAAACATGAAACAAAACTACTGATGAATGCCGGGAAGATGATATATTTGTCTTTGTTCATGTCCAGTGGTCAGTTTAATGGATATTGAGAATGTGAAATCATGGGTCAGAGTGTGTGAAATGTATACTTGACCAACATACTGAATCTAATTCGTTAAGTGCTAGTTCACCATGTGAATGCTGATGTCAACAATTTGATATTTATAAAACTATGTCAATGTACTAAGTTTCCAATAATTGGCCAATTTTAATGTTATTTTTCTGACTTTGATTACCATTATGTAAGACCTGTATACATGTTATTGACTTTTGTGGTCTCGAGACAATACATTTATATATGATGACATCAGGACTACAATCTTTAAGTCTGATATGCTCATGTTTCAAATGTTCATAGAATACAATTTTTGAAAATAAGCTTAATGCAATAGCCTGCTGAAATGATATCAAGTTTAATAGTTTCCAAGGCTTTCAGAAATCAACTGGACAGTCTTTTTTACTGGACTAGATTCTTTTTTTACAGGACAATCACACATATGATTTGGACAAAATTAAAAATTTTACTGCTCATTTTGAAAGGCATATTATTAATCAAATGAATTTTATTAAACCAATTTTTACTGGTCTTTGCCCAATGACCATCAACCTTGGGAATGTCTGATTAACCAAGTCATCCAGGACATACACTCTACAAAACGGATTGGTGACTGTACCTTTATTAAGATGCTAAATACGAGGTGTGTTATATGTAAGCCTACATAATAATTTTATTTTGTGTCAATGACAAACCCCATTGGCATTCAATGTATAAATTAAGGTGATTTGTTTTCCACAATTGCCTGTATACAATAAAACATGTACCACAATGCAATATTTAAAAAAATATATATATTATCGATACTGGTGCACAGTGTCTTTGATCTGTACGTACTGGATATTGTCAGTATCTCTGGACTTGCTGTATACATCTTCCAATGTGTCAGTACATCATGTCAGGATCTTCTAGTACTTGAGTCTTTCATTTCATTAACAAAACTTACATTTTCTTTATTACAATCATTATTAAACTTGTATCTTTTTTCTGTATTTTAATAATTCAATATTTGTTAATCATTTAATCAAATCAGTTACACGAACTGGGACTTTCTAACTTTCTATTATCATTTATTGCTAGTAATCTGAAATCAGCTGGAATCATAAATGATCTGGTGCTGTTTGGATGTTTCGTCGTCTGAGTTTAATCTCTCCAATAACTATAAAGTGTTACGATACATTAATACACAACACATGAATAGTAACCAGAAAGGTGTAGCCACTTCTTTACAAATGCTGAAACGAGAAATAATATATGAAAGATTAAACAATAATTTTTCGTTGTAACATCACAACACTAGGGAACAGAAAGTAAATATTCATGTATGATGTCATAATGATGTAGTATTATATTAAAAGATTGCTTTCTCACTCGTGGTTGATAAAAAAAAAATACTTGCACACCCCCTTCCCCACGAGAAAACGCATTATTATTCGAAGAAAACCTTCATTTAAACTTCTTTTAACTTAAGTTATCCACACCAATATATGCCTGATGTTTCTGTGTAATCGTTAAAAACTATTAAAAACACATATGAACCACTAATTCAATTGAATTTTTATGGAACAACATCCAGATCTATACAATATGAAAGGGAGAAAAGTGTGCAATTTCATCAATGTTTTTTTTGTTTTTTTGAGAAATACATCCTACATGTATTTAGCGATTTTCGTGAAATTTCATTCCAAAAACTCGTGTAGCGATATTTACATTTTCCGTAATTTTCGTATTTTTCTTTTCATTCATTTTGCAAATTTGCTATGTATTGCTTTTATTATCAATCTTCCACCGAGCTTCGTATCTAAAAAAAAAAGAAAAAAATCACGAAAATATCAGCTTAAAATCATTTATGAAAAGATCACACCGAGGCATTTTTGAAAGACTAGCTTGACCCATAAAACTATGTAGCATATTATTAATAATTTCTTCCAGTAAGCTAACTTAAAGTACAAAATGTATATAATATATTAGGGTAAATTTATTTTGAAGTCGGTAAATCTGTAATGTACGATATGCGTTTCTTTCTTTTAAAACATAGTATTTCAAATTTAACATTCACTCTGATTCATATATGACTATGCGGTATGAGTTTTGTTCGTTGTTGAAGGCCGTATGCTGACCTTTAATTGTTAACTTCTTATTAGTGCTATATTATTTGGTCTCAGTCCGGTGGAGAGTTGTCTCATTAGCAATCATACCATTACTCAGAGATTACTCGGACTTCAAACGGCTGTTTAATTTGCAAGACAAGCTAGGCCCATGAGCGTAGGACGTCAAAGTAATCTCGGACGTGCACAAGTCAACTGGTTTTAGACTCTTGCAAAAATAGAGGCAAACAACACATTCAATTTTCTAGACCTAAAACCAATCTTAAATCAAGTTTTTCATTCTTTATATTTCTTGAACTCAAAGGCCTCTTACCAGTGATGCATTTTAATGGTTTTCCTATAGATCGTAGTGCTGGGGGTAAACAAATTAATTTTGCGGACCCGATATTTTTACTTGCCATGGCCATATTGTTACTCATCTCGGTGGGGTTCACGTCGATCAGATCTTTGTCAAAACTATTCAAATCACGCATAACGTCATGATAGTGTACATATTTCCATAAGGCAAAATAAAAAAAAAATATGTCTATTTCCTATTTCCATACCTACCCTATTATAGAAATAGGCTTCCTTCAAGTTTTTTGGTAATTTTGCACTAAGCACTGTTAAAGTCAAAATTTCTCTGCCATAGACTCAATGTAAAAAAATGTTAAAAACTCTCATATTAAAGTATGTCTGTCTCGGATGCTCATCGCTACCATAGGCGGTTATATAGGTAATCACTAAAACTTAAAAGATGACTTTAGCGGGCCCCTCTGTTATGGCAGTCACTCAGTGCCCCCACCCCATTTATAGAAAGTTCTGGATTCACCATAAACGTATTTACACTTTTGGTATTTAGCTGTATTTTGACTCCGAATGACCTTAAATCTACTCCGAATCACCTTTTGACGTCAAGCAACAATCACTTTTTATTTGTGACGTCAAATGTTTTGAATTATGTCAAAGTTTACGGGAACCTGTGTGATTTTACGTAATGGCGGACAAATTTGCATACAAGTGTAAATACGTCTATTGGTTACTAAAAACGGATCGAAGTGCATCCCTCCCGAGGACATGGGAGAATCTCGCGACTGACATTAATCATTGTTGCCTAACCATTTAGCCTGTAATTTTCCGTCTGGAAATTGAAGTAATCATAACTATAATCCGGCTGGCGTATCAAGTCACTTAAATGCTAGTCCGAGATTAATCGGACTTCAAACGGCTGTTTTGCAAGACAAGCTAGGCCTATGACTGAGCGTAGGACGTCAGAGTAATCTCGGACGGTCACAAGTCAAATCGTCTCCTATAGAAAAATTCGACATCCGATAATATTTAATATGTATATGAAACCACTACAGTTGAGTAGAATTCCTTATGAATGGATAAATCTGAGACATCTCGGACTACTGTCTAAAGTGCATGTAAAAAATAAGCAAATCTACTTACCTGTATGAATAGCATTGTATTGCGTACATGTTTCTGTTATATTAAAATGATAATAAATTGCGGCATACTGGCCAAAGAAGTGTCTTTCGTCCTTCCCCTTGCAATCATGTCCACTTCGCCGATTTTAAACAAATTTTGTACATGACGTCATGCGGGTGGGATTTGCCGCAATTAGCGCAGAAAAATAGTACAAGCGCTTTCAGTATTAAACATTACAAAAACTAATAGATAAGAGAATATTAAAAGGGTTATCTGTTTTCATTACTTTTCAAAAATTATTTATATCGGTACAAGTGATTCTTAAGAATTGATTTCTTATCATGTTTACAGTCTCTGCATGAATCTCTACGTATGATGGTAAATCACATCTTACGTCATAATATCCCTGACGTCATTAAATAAAGTGTTAGGAGGAAAACAACAAACGGATTTTTGTTGTTGTTTTATTTTTTGCATTACACAAAATTATGCATTGGAGTACATGTATAGAAATTCGGCCAACAGTATCAAACAGAACTTGTAGGATTACTGCATTCGGATATTTTGCGATGTCTGCACTCCTACTGTTTTTGGATGCCAACATTCAGCTTTTTCGGGATGTCAGCATCCCAGTATAACGGGATGCCAGCATCCCAATAAAACGGGATACCAGCATCCCAATATAACCGGATGACAGCATCCCAATAAACCGGGATGCCAGCATTCCAATATATAGGAAATCCAGCATCCCAAAAAAATAAAAAATATTAAAAAAAAAAAAAATATGCAAAACTAGCATCCCAGTAAAAGTAAGATGCTTAAGTACATTATTATTTTAACAACAGCATCTACATCAAATTTTAATGCTGGAAGAATATAAAATCAAACAGACAGCATACGTACTATAAAACGATGCTACCTTATACAAAATATGAAAGCAATTAAAAAATTGAGAAATACTTTGACAAATTATTCAAGATAAGAATCTTTTCATTGATTATGCTATTTCCTAGTTATTTCACGGAATGTATGAAAAAAACTGTACATGAGAATTTGAAATTTTAGTTGAGAACCCATTCATTTCACGTCGAATATCTTGAAAAATATTATAGACCGAGATAATGTGTCGGCTCCAAAACAAATTCAAGAATGCCAATACAAATAAATAAATATACATTCTGTATATTTTGACTAAAACTATCTGATTAAAGAAATTGTCCTCAGATATGTAACGATATTTTCATTTTTAGGTTTGTCTTTGAAGCTGTTATAATTGATAGAAAGAAATTTCAAATTGCATGCTAAATGAACAGCAAAACAAAATATCAAATAAGTCAAATAGTCTATATTGTCAACTGACTCCACATTGGAGTCATTCCGTATAACTTTTTCCAGCCTAAAATGATTAGCCAAACCGGATCTACTAAGAACTCGACACATTATATCAATTGTTACCTTTCCATGATTATTGTTAACCCTTTAAAACTGCGAACCGCAAACATGATCAGTAAAATAAGAGAAACGAATAAGTGAAATGACCTTGATTATTTGAAATTATTGTTCCCATATTGACCAATTCAATTGTTTAATCTGATACCTCTAAAACTCTTCTGGTTAGGTTGAAAATTTCATAAACAGCAAAAACATGTTCAGCACCACGAGATCTTCTTGATTGGATTTTTCAATAGATTCCTTACATGAGTAGTATCTACATAAGAAAATGCCTGTACCAAGTCAGGACTATGACAGTTGTTATCCATTCGTTAGATGTGTTTAAGCTTTTGATTTTGACATTTGCATAGCGATTTTCCGTTTAGATTTTTCCTCGGAGTTCGGTATTTTTGTTATTTTACTTTTCACACTACATTACAATTTAGACCATTTTTTCATTAAAGGCGTTCATGTTGAAGCTATTTTGTCTAACAAAAAGTTCAACAAGACAAGATTTTAGCCGCATAGTTTCAATTTAACACACACATTTCTATTGCATTGTGCAATTTAATGCAATACTGCCAAAAAGAGCAACCTCGGGCATCTAGCATACGTTTCTTGTCGAAAAAAATCATTCTCATATTTTATGTCCGAAGAAGCCAAGCCTTTTTAAAATCCAATTTACCTTGCCATGGCCTGTATTTTCATGATAATTTAACGAAAACAATCATATTTACAACACGAAATGGTGGTTGACATATACGATGCTATTTCTAATTTCTAGTATAATTGTGTTTTTGGCGTATAAACGCCTATAAGTTAGATTTGATTATAAGTTATTTGTTACATAAAAGAGGGGCGAAAGATCGGACTTTCAGTGCAACGTTTCAACTAGTTTCTTCCTACTAAAGTTTCCTGTTAAAGAAGTAAAATTTGGAAGCAAACGTTTTTGAAAAGTGTCATCATGTATTGTAACGAGGCAACTTATATGAACAAAATATGCGTCATTTTGCAAATAAAATTATACATTACATAGTGTAATTATTTTTTTAAATATCTTTTTTTATGTTAAAATATGGCGTCCTCTTTGTTAGTTTTAAAGATTTTGAATGGACGTTATCAGTCACTGTTGGTGAATAACTAATTATTTATTCCTTCACATTACCACAATTGAATTGTTATGATATTGTTTGATGAAATTTTTCAAAACAATGTGTTAAGGTTCCACTAAAGTCAAAATATAGGACACTTAATAAACATCTAAACTTTGCCTGTATTTTTCAACCTATAATGAGTAAAGTCCCAAACTATGAGAACATATGTTCATTTAAACATACTTAACATATACACACTGTGTAAATTGTAAATAAACTTGAAATTGTTATGTTGTGGCCAAACCGGTTCTTGGGGTGAACACTAAATTTTCAAAAAAATCTGGAGGCCTGTGAGACGACTTAATTTGTTTAAAATTGGTATGGACGAATACTGTTATATCTAATGCAGGGCAAGCTCATGTTGATTTTTCAGAAAATGTTTTGATTTTCGAGTTTCAGTTAATTTCATGTATCTAGGTGAACAAATATCGAAGGTACAATACAGAAATTGGACAAATGTGCCATTAAAACATATGTATGTGACAAATCAAAATGAGCTTGCCCTGCATTACATGTAACAGTATTCGTCCATACCAATTTTAAGCAAATAAAGTCGTCTCACAGGCCTCCAGATTTTTTTGAAAATTTAGTGTTCACCCGAAGAACCGGTTTGGCCACAACATAACAATTTCAAGTTTATTTACAATTTACACAGTGTGTATATGTTAAGTATGTTTAAATGAACATTTGTTCTCATAGTTTAGGACTTTACTCATTATAGGTTGAAAAATACAGGCAAAGTTTAGATGTTTATGAAGTGTCCTATATTTTGGCTTTAGTGGAACCTTAAAGGTAAACATGGACGTAGAATATCTCAGATCTCTAGGCACATTTATTCTGCTAACCATTCTTTTCTGGATCTCCGAAGAAGTACCACCAATCATATGGAAACCTTTAAACCTAGTATAATACGTTGGTTAATAAATTGTTTTAGAAGACTGATTAATTGTCAGGTTGTTTTCGACTTTGAATGTCCCTTTGGTATTTTTCGCGACCCTTTTTTAAAAGTCATAAGTTTATCATTTGTTATATAATTTTAATTCTAAAGACCAATACAATTTTTTAAACACACCTATAAATAACATTTTTCAAGTGCAAAACAAACTCATTAGCAATCATACCTCATCTTCTTTTTTCCTGTTTATCGGCAATTTGTACATTTCCTTTTATCTTACTACCTAATATATTTCAAAATGCAGCATCCTAATAAATTTACGATATTTAATTGAAAAATATCTTATTGATTTTCAGCAATCATCATACTTTTTAGAGTAAATAATATTCAGATGAGCAATATGTAATCTAAAGAGTGTATAATTTAAATTTATGAGTATTTGTTCTGCATCATGTTCAATTTTATTGCAGATGTCACCACTACCTGTATGTCGTTAGCTCTGTACAAATATATGTGTCAAAATATAGTTGGATCAGAAGAGTATGTAAGGACAATAAGAATCTTGATAAATGTTCGGGACAATTTAACAACCAACGATTCGAACGTCGTTATTACCGGTGGAAGTTTTGGAGAGGGTCTTGATCTACATGGAGGAGATATAGATATCGTACAAGCGCAAACATATATCGATGTTTCTGAAGAAAGAAAATTCGCTTTTGACTTTTGTAAAACATATTTCAAAATGGAAACTGAAACAATACACCCAGGCTATACTATGCTATTGCTTTTATTTTCTAACAATAGGAACGCATTTCAACACTGTAAGGAGTTAAATGGAAAGTATTACTTTTCAAACGCACTTTTTAAACAGGTGTTTTTAGACAGTAAAAACGGTGTTGACATTATTCACGGACCTTGTCTTTCGACTAAAGAGGGAGACTACGATTTTGCATACGCATTGCATAGTAAATTATGGATATCTGCTGCAGAAAACTGGATAACAAGATCGAAAAACTTATGGCCAAGTTATGAGGTCAAGCAGAGTATTGTAAAACATGGTGTATTGTTTGTACCAGTAGGTTATAAGCGATCACCAAGAGAAGAACTTCAATGGAGGATATCCTTCAATGTGGGCGAGAGACTATTAATTTATACCTTTGAACATACACAACTGTTGTGCTATTGTCTTATGAAAATTCTTCTGAAAGACGTAATAAATGAACACATAGACGTAGAATATCATGAATTACTCTGCTCTTATATCCTAAAAACTCTTGTTTTCTGGATCTCTGAGGAAATGAAACCATCCATATGGAAACCTACAAACCTAATATCTTGTTTTATGGGATGTTTTAAAAGACTGATTTATTATGTTGAATTTTCAGTTTGTCCACATTACTTTATTCCACAAAACGATTTATTTGAGAATAGGGTCAAAGGGCGTGCACGTGAGGTTTTGTTAAATGCACTACGTTCACTTTATAGACATGGATGGCGATGTTTCAAATTTTCAGAAAAAATATTTTGTTTGCAAGTCCGAAGATTTTACACTGAACCTTGTATCAAATATTTAGAAAGAATAAAATTAAATTTTTCTAAATTAATTCGAACAGACGCTGCCTTGCTCAACTCATATAATCACTTACAAAAAGCTTTTACTGGAATGCATCTGTTCCTTTCCTATAAAAATCCGAAAATAATGTATCTTTATATATACAGCATGTCGATGATATGTTCACAGAAAGCTCAATCGATACGATTAACTGGGGCGTATGGCAACAAAAACTGCTACTTGAAATACAAAGCCTGCCAGTATGATTTGATGCAGAATATTTACCATGATGCAGCATCTGGTTGGCTTTTGATAGCGTCATTTTTCTATAGGACACATCAATACAATAGAGCAATCGATATCATATCGAACTATGTGAACTGTAAGCTATATCCAAATTCAGAAATGTTACACACATTTATTCGATTGTGCAGTGTAAAATCATTCCAAAAGAGATTATTACCGCTTTTGAAAATAGAGCGATGTGATTTTGTGCGGTTTCAATCAAAGTCAACGCTTATACCTCAGGAACTACAAATGGAAGTAGAAGACATGTCACATCATTTTCCAGAACGTCATGATTCTCTAAGAGATCTTCAAAGAAATATAAAGAAATCAGACCGTATAGAAACTCTAACGGCAAAAGCTATCTCGTACATTTGCCTTGGAATAGCATTTCAGCTTGATGGAGATAAAGATTCAGCTAGGAGTGCCTTTCAGCAGGCGTATAAATTTGAATCGTTTGGTGTAAAGAAAATTGCCCAAAAAAGACTCTCGCTGATAAAGTAATTTCAACAATAATCTGTTAAAGGATATTATCGTGGTATGTTAAGAATTGTACAACACACGATTATAAGTTCAAAATCTGATTACAGATAAGCAAATATTGTTGTAACGTTTTTGACACTTGTTTCAATTCAAGGACTGGAAAACTTTAATTGTCCACAAATATTTCTACGATTATAAGAAATTCATTAAAGCTATCAAATGCAGACAATTTAGGGCTTCACAACCTCAATGGACTATTGTCTATTGTTGAAGACTTTGCGTTGTTCCAAAGATTAAGACCTACAAATTACTTTAATTTGACCGAAATTGTCAGTTTACTCTTTTATTTGAGTAATTGATCTTAAATATTGATTTTTACCAATTTTTAGTGTTTTGGCTTATTACTTTGAAAACTGTTATAGATAGATTGATTCTTTACATAGCAAATGTAATAAATATGTCAACATGGCCTAAATTGTCCTTGTTGGAATGCTTGCTCTTGGTTACGATTTTTACATTTTTTCTGCATTTTTGCCTTTTATCTTGAAAATTAAAAAAAAGATAGATACACACTTTAAATAACAAAAATTATCAGCAAGACAAGAACTGCCCTTTTGTTTACAGTGGTTATGGGTCTTTTGCCATATTATTATAATGTGACAATAACACCTTGTGACTGGAATCCAGCTCTAAATCATTTATTTGCTAGAATACTAAGTTGAGAGTTCTAGTTAAATAAAGGAAACAGTAGTATACCGCTGTTCAAAAGTCATAAATCGATTGAGAGAAAACAAATCCGGGTTACAAACTAAAACCGAGGGAAACACATCAACTATAAGAGGAAAACAACGGAACAAAAGAAACACTGCAGTGCAACAAAAACAAACGCCAACATACATAGAAACGAACTATTTGATAACAACTGCCATATTCCTGACTTGGTACAGGACATTTAAAAAAAATATGGTGGGTTGAACCTGGTTTCATGGCTAGCCAAACCTCCCGTTTATATGGCAATGTTAAAAATACCGCTAAAATGACAACATTACGTGACAGGAATACAGTACAAATAAATGCAAGAACATTCAGGACAGAGCAATACATAAATAAATAATATAATAGTACATTTCAACATGTCAAACACAGAATAACAACGAACAGCTAAAATTCATTTACGACAGAACACAAATACAGCACAAATTAACATACTTTGAAACATGACGGATCCAAGCAAAGGTTTTTCATATACAGAATATAACTATATATTTTGAATGCTTAAATTTGTCTAATAAGAAACTTTAAATACAGTTGGATTATGACATATCAAGTATACCAACATTGTTTTTTTTATCATATAAATTAGACATGTACATTAAGTGTAGAAGAAAGACAGAAAAACATATCTTAACAATAAATGTTTATCTACAAACAAAAGAATTTTTGCTATTTCTTAGATAATGTTAATCTTCAGGGTTGTCTTTATATACATTTTGTTTCATATTCACTTCCTGAAGCGGGAACACTACAACAGGTTAACAGGTAAAGGCGAATCAATAAACACTTCAACCGATCGAATTGCATAAGATTCAATGACAAGTCTTTTCAAAATGAATGTTTGGGGTTAATTGGGTAAGGAGAAAATAACTGATGTTTTAAGTTGATTTCTTGTAAATACGTCCAAACAATAATCAACCAAACTTTTTGCTTGATCTACAAAAACGTATGTGTATATATTGTCATAGTTTTTCAATCTCTCATTACCGTATTTAAAGCAATAGAAAGTTAAGGCTTTAAGAGTCAACACAATTGTACTTTATACACCATATTCAACTTTTTATTTGATTAATTAACAAATAATACACATATACATAGCAAAATAATTTCAAGAAATACTGCAAAACATCTAATTGTAAGTAATTCAGCAGTATTGTCATACAATGCGTTTAATTGAACAGTGATAAGGCAAACATCGAATTCCCTCATAAAATCTTATTACACACACTATTGTAAGTCTGGTTATAACTTTGAATGAAAATACAATCAGCTGATTCTATTAAGTCTAAATATTTTGATTCCTCAAATGGCAAAACGAAGACATCAGTACCCACTGGAGACTGCAGTCATTCGGCGGACTTGTAAGTGATGCCCTTCAATATCTAAACGATATTATTTCAATAGTACGATAGTACTTATATCTCAAATAGCTCTTTGGGCATCACAGTTGATTTCTATAGCGTATCCATATACCTTTCAGTCGATGATTAACACATGTTTTGCATTTATTTAAAACGGCATTATATCATGCCAACAGAATTATCTATTTTTCGCATTATTGTAATACTTCTAATATTACATATATATTACTTCATCATTAGCTACGACTTATTAATAGGTATATTTAACAAATTTAATGGAAATCATTTAATATAACACACAATGGTACATGTTGTGCACTTAATTCAACATTTATGCAGAGCTAAACAATAAACTTAGAATATCAATAATCTGCATGATCATTGATTTACACATCACATTTCATACCTTGCATCACGGTAATGATCTTATATGGTTGTTGGTTCACTTACTGGCCCCAGTGAGTTTGAATCTCCATTCAGGAAGTGTGCTTGGATGTTAATATACCTAACAAATACGTTCAAGTATAATCATATGTCTTCGGTATATTTAAATATAGTAAAAGGTTACTTTCATTCTACTGTGTTGCCGAAATAATACAGAAGAAATCAATATGACTTTTTATCTTTAATGTTAAAGATGGCACGGTAGTATTTCCTGGCCCATAAGGGATATGGATAGCCTTTTAAGAATTTTCACCACTTTCTAACACTGCCAAAAATTCTACATTCACAGTTAACTGAAGTACTTTCATTTTACTATTCAGAAATGAATTTGAATATGAATCATGACCGTTTACTTTTTTTGCTATCTTTAAGAACCTAAGGCCACTAGTGCTTTTAGGTCTTTTAGAGTGCAGTGAATACAAATTTTTTTTTAATTCTCAAAAATTCATTTTCATCTGTATGTAAAATTATTTCATATTTTTCTACACCTGATTCATCCCTCAGTTTGGGAAAGTATGTGCAGTAGATACTGTATTTTTTGTCCAATCATAATGTTCCGATACATTGACTTAAGTAGGGTACACAAAAGAGCAACCTAAATTCTGGAATGCAAATACTACCGTGCTACCTTAACCAAGACATTTCAAACTTGAAATCAGTCATGACACCTATGATGCATAGCCTTCTTACTATGTAACATATTACAATAAAGAATACTAGTCTGCACTTATTTCTTACAAACAAAAAATGAAAGATTACACCCCTACCCCAGCTGGCAGATTTTTACTTTTTTATCATCTTACCATTTTTACTTAAAGAGTGAACAAAATCCAAATATATGATGTTTCAAATCAACATAGAAGTCTAACATGGTGATTCAGGAGGAATTATTGGATTGCCAACTCTATTTATAGTTAATCTGATTAAAAGAAACAGTTTAAGCACCAAATCATGAAAAATGATATTAAAGTCCATTCCACATTTTACAGCATGCCTTACATTACTTTAAGCATTTCCAGATTATGAAGGCAACACAACAAGATTCTTTAGATGGCAGTTAACTATTATTCTAAAATCTTTTTGACAATACATGTACTAGAATATATCTCTAAGTTGACTGTTTGTCTTTTTCTCATGTATGCATTAAGTTAAATTATGTCCCCTTACATAATCATTTTACCTGTATTGTGCTTTTCATTGTCAGAAAATCAAAACAATTAATGACATTTGCATGGAAAATGAATAAACTATTTAATCTTGCTGATAAACAATCATAATAACATTCTTTGTAAAAAAAAATGCCTTGTCAGTGTAAAGAAACCCCTATTTATCTCTAATTCAGCAAAATATGAGGACTAAATGAATAAGTAAGGACTCCTTAACCACTTGCTGGTTCCAAAAAAGCTCATACTGGTGTCATGTTACCACAGAACTACAAATTAAACCTAAACAAAACTAGTAAAGATGTACTTGTGTGGAAAAAAATAAGAAATTATGCAATTTATTTATTTCGGTGAAAATAATAGAATGTACAGGCAAATAAAATATGTCGCGTCTCAAATTCCAGTGTTGCACATGTGTCAGACACTGCGAAAAGTTAAAGCGAGCATTTATAATTAAAAAATGTATTGCAAGTTACATAAAAATAAAGAAGTTCTACTTTCTAGGTAAATTTTTACTTTATTATCCACAGATCAGGCAAAATTTGCTGAATCAGCAATTTTCACTCCCAGGGATGGAATTTAAGGGCTGTTTTTATCATCGTTGCCCTTAATCAACTTTTTATTGATAAACTTACAAATTGCATAGGTAAAAAAAAAATCCTTCATTGATTTAGTGTTAACATGTATATCCCCCTTAAGGTGGCACGGTAGTATTTTCTGGCCCATAAGGGATAATGATAGCCTTTTAAGAATTTTCACCACTTTCTAACACTGCCAAAAATTCTACATTCACAGTTAACTAAAGTACTCTCATTTTACTATTCAGAAATGAATTTGAATATGAATCATGACCGTTTACTTTTTTTGCTATCTTTAAGAACCTAAGGCCACTAGTGCTTTTAGGTCTTTTAGAGTGCAGTGAATACAAATTTTTTTTTAATTCTCAAAAATTCATTTTCATCTGTATGTAAAATTATTTCATATTTTTCTACACCTGATTCATCCCTCAGTTTGGGAAAGTATGTGCAGTAGATACTGTATTTTTTGTCCAATCATAATGTTCAGATACATTGAAATAAGAAGGGCCCACAAAAGCAACCTAAATTCTGGAATGCAAATACTACCGTGCTACCTTAACCAAGACATTTCAAACTTGAAATCAGTCATGACACCTATGATACATAGCCTTCTTCCTACGTAACATATTACAATAAAGAATACTAGTCTGCACTTGTTTCTTACCAAAAAAATGAAAGATTACACCCCTACCCAAGCTGGC